AATGACATGTCGCAGGCAATCATTGTGCTCACCAGCCTCACGTAATCGGGATTGACAGAAATACCATTGTGCTGATGTGGATAATATGGTGAGTTCATTGACGAGTTTGGTTCACTTTTGTGTAACTTTTCTGAATTAACGTTATTTTCACGAACCGTCCTACGGGAGTTGTCAAGCCTTGGCTTTTTTATCCGTATTATACCATTGTTCCATACTTTGTCAAACACTTTCGAACTACTGCTTAGTGTGCGTAAACGTGACCCAAAAGCGAATGTGTTCACTTGATGTTCAGTCCCTACTCTCCAACATCCCGCTGAACACGGATGTTGCTTAGCTCTGTAAGTTTATCTATAGTCGTACTATCCAACTGCGAATCCCCACAGAAATGTTGCAGCACATACTTCGTTTATGCAAGAATAACAACAAGAAGAACAAGAAGAACAATATGCCTTAGGGAAGGCACAGCAACAGATAGACGTTGTTCTGATGGGTAGTGTTCTGGGCCATTTATGGAGAGCTGTGTTCATGGGCATGATGGAGGAGAAGGTAAATAATGTCATAAAATTGGTGACTCTATACAATCGTTATGTGAAAGCGTTATTGCTAATTATTTTTCCCACGAGGTCATCCTACGTGCGACCGGGATGCTCAACAGTATGAACTCTAATTTTACAGTGGTGTGTGACTTTTTCAGTATAAGCTTTATGTACCCAAATGGGTGCATCTACAGCGTTTTACATTATCAACAGTAAATTTCTCAGAGGGTTACCATCAAAAGTGTTAAGTTTTCAAATAAGTAGAAAAATGCGAAGAGTGCACTGTCATAACTCGATTTATGGTCGATCGATCAAGCGACGCTTCCATAACGCTGAACTAAATCCTCGGGATTTGCATCCAATCACAAACGGAAAGGTTTCACTAAAATCTCTATTCAGGATTTGTTTCAAATGACGTGAAATTTTGTGTCCAAAGACGGTAGATCGGGGATAGCGCGCGATATCTCGGCGTTTAGATGCAAAAGATGGATAGAGTAGATAGCTCGCAATGACCATGGAAGTTGACTGAACATAATATCCCGCGGCTTAATCTGGTAAAACTGTTATATCTACAGTAGATAATGTAAACGATGTTGTTCGACGAAAAAGGCAACAGCCGATTTGAAGGCCCCGCCTTGTCTTTCATACCAATAAATACTGTTCAGGTGGCGGTAGCATGATTCCATCAGAAGTTCAGTTTACCGAAAAGCAACTTGAACAAGTCCGTGTTTGCATTTTAAGAGTTTATTCCCTATCCAACGTGAATGCTCGTTCGTCCGGACGCTCTTTCATCGAGCCCACGTGATTTTTACCAAGAACACATCCACAGCAGAGAAGGATTTGCTGTTCGCGATATCACAAGCGAAAGTTTATCTAATGCAGTTTTTGAAACGCATTAGTGACAAAGCCAAGCGAGACCGTGTACCTACAGATTAGACGAAGCCTATCTTTATCGAACTGAAATCCAATGGTAATCATGTTAGGAAAATCACCGCTAACATACTAGTGATTCAGTGAAAAGGGCGTACTATACAGCTGAACTACGTTTACTCACGTCAACTGGACCTCTGTTTATTTGTTTCATCAAGCCACCGATAACGAGGCTGTGCATATCCCACCCCTTTTACAAATTCACCTGTGCTTATGGAGACAACTATGTCGTGCGCACTGACCGAAGGTTAGGATCAATAAACACATTTCCAAGTGGTTACGCTTCCGGATGGGATCGGTGAAGGCGGAATCGGGTGCATTGTGAAATTGCGTGCCTTTGTGATCACAAAGCACTTGCTGAGCACCGGTCAGCGTGTTAATCCCGATGAGTTATTCACCGTCCTGATGTGCAATCAGGGCTCCCACATTTTTAGACTATAGAAAGTCATTGCCGTCCATCGAGAGCAGTAACCGCTTTGTATGCGAAAACCGCTGACTGTGAATCTTGTGCGAGGCGCAGCAATTAGCCAACGATTGGCTAGCTATTGACCGCATATGACCGCGTATGGTATATCAATGAATTTTGCATGCTTTGTGGTTGACGAACATGCACGAAATGACTGAGTCATCTCACAACTTACGCGTTCTGAGTTTTGTGTGTGTTAGCTTGTCTATCAACCTGATGAAATGGAATCTACTTTCTGGCCTAATCGAAAGTAATGCAAAATGAAAATAGCTCCTTTGAGGCAAATAATCAAATGTAGATGCGACACGCCGGTGTGTTAACTCGATATGTCTCCCAGTTACTCAAAAAGCTAATTGTACAACATGGTAGACTCGTACTTGCTGGTCTAAGTGCTCTTCATAATGGACCGCGACGATTTGCGACGAGCTAACTGACCATGAAATCTCTATAACACTGTGAAACGCTACTAGACCCAAGTCCATCAGATGCACCAGTAAAGTCTGTTATTTTTCATTTGGCCCCTCTCAGGCATACTTCGGAGATGTTATCTTTGACAGTTTGCAAGTTGGCATCTCGTTAACCTGGAATACTGCCCGTATATTTAATGTTTACCCTTTGCAGAATAGAAAGCTATTTGGTGCCATATTCATTGATCTCCATGATTTATTCGGCTGGGTTAATTGGAGAAAAGTTTCCCTTCTTGAATCACCTACTCTGATAATGCGTGTGACTGTTGAGCCAATTAAACGGAACGATCTTGTATGGTGTAAAACATTACAGTCCTCATGGGAAGACCTAACAAATTCTGATTGCTAGCGTCGTTGCTCTTGGTAATCCGAGGTTTCAGCTACAACTGCGTCATTATTTCTTTGAAACATTCTGCTTACTCTTGTCACCGTGAACCAGAAGCTTGACATTATGTGTTTTACCTAGTTGTAAACATGAAATGAATTTAGCCTAGTATCCATGTTTCCCTGCTAATATTCGGACGCATACGCATAGGTCAAGGAAAAGCTAACTAACGTCTTCAAACGCAAGATGTTCAACCAAAGATACCTTACCGACATTCGGTATAGCTACATAACTACTGATCCTTCTTACCCATCATTTCAAACTTTACAACTGTGGGTAACTATAGATGAGTGAATGCTGATAAATGGATCTATTGCTAGTGCCGTTTGTTAATAACTGGTTTGGGAGCTGTATGAGGCCTTCACATTGAAGGTGCCTGGGCTGTGCTGCACTACGGCTAGTGTGGGGAGAACGGACCTACTTACTGGATTTAGGTTTCGTTGTATTTATCTGGGTCCCAGTGGACTTGTGCTGTACCATCATAATGCGAAGTAAGTTTCATATTCCACACTAGGGGTTCAGCACATGCGACAAATAAACAAGTAACGAAAACAATTTGTAACATAAGTCCTACCACGTTTATGGATTATATTTGCAATTACGCAGGCCAAAATATAGAAAGAGGCGAGACGGACCAATGAGAGTTGCTCGGCATTCAGAAGCCTATTAATGTTACCAAGAAGGTGTACGTATAAAATACATTATCGAAAAATCATCGTATAATAATAAAATTCCACTGTGTTCATACCGAGACCACAAAGTACTCAAAAGTTTGACGAATGTGAACCGCATGCCGGGTGCAGTAAGCAAAGCCAGATAATTTTAGGGCCGTTTGGATCAACGCATGGCTCCTCATCTCCGCAATTGGAGAACCTGCACGAAGTTATCTAGGTATCCATTTGGGCCAGAATATATCTTCACCGAGGCATCTCACGTCTAAACCAATTGTACTTCTCTGATAACCAGATACTAAATTGCAGTCATGCTCCTGTTGCCAAGTACTTGTGCGAACGTCTTCTGGATGCTAAACCTTGTCGTCATTGAATGATGCGGTTAATTTTATCGCCAACTAGATTGCTGGCTGACATGTTTCGACTAGCATTTCGGTTTTGTCCTCACCTTAGTATTGCCGTGAGCTAGGCCACTAGAAATCCAGATCAGAATAATCGAATGGAAGACGCAAGCAAACATGAAATCTGCAAGTTATCCGCTGCCTGCTGAAGCATATAATCGCGCTAGCTAAAGCGCACTGAAAAAGAGTCTAGCTAGGGAAGAAAACGCATGTCGCCAGGCGTTGCGTCGAACGCCTGTAGTCGGGAGAGCTCCAAAAAGTTTCGATATGATTCATTCAAACAAACGTAGTCAAGGTGCCAACGAGTGGATTACCCAATTCACCTAAGTACATCGTGGGGCTATTTAACTCAAGCGTATTTTACACAACGTACCGCAGTCAAATGGGAGAGAAATGCAGGTGGATACAGGAGTACTCCAAATAAAATGATATTCCAGTTTCCCGTATAACACCTCTTCCACTAATCCGAAACTAGTATATTTGGGTATCGTCAAAAACTGCGTTTGGCATAGGCACTCGTGTCAAATGCAGCGCGACTGAAACCCGCAATTAAATCAACTTTAATACTCTTTTCAGAGGAATGGATACACTATCAGTGACCGAAATGCACCGCGTGAGCTTCTGCATCAGTAATTTTGGCTCTTGAACCGGAGCGCACATAATGCTAGGCTTAACTATTAGACCAGGAACGACATGTTTGTATAGCGTCATTCGACATTCCTTTTCTGTTTGCCCCCGGTTAATTTTTGAACCTAGGTTGCAAGCGTATTTCCTTCTCACATGTGCATTAAGTTAAACCATACCCTCAGTTAGAGAGGGACCAGAGTCTTCGAACAGCACTCTACCACCATACATGTAAAGCAGTTTGCCTACTCATATAATTTCTCAAATCAACAGCACACACTTCATCGGTTTTTTCTTTTTTATCCACATTGAGCTGTATTGCAATGAGGTAATTCTCGCTTAAGGAGAAGCATCATTTGCATTGAAAAGTTCCTTAGACACTCTCCCGAACAAGATAGTCTAAAGTGAATCTCAGATACCATCAAGTTTTCTGCGCCAATATGCTTTACGTATCCTTTGGTATGCTTCGTTCGTTCTTTATTAGTCCTTGTTTAGTTACCAGTACGTATAATTTTTGCAGGTGAATTCGGTAGCACCGAATTCGTATTCACCAATCAACATAAACTTCAGAAAAGAAAGCTTCAACGTGAAACGAGTGCCGTTTTTGAAGTCAGGAGGAAGGCTGACCAAAAAACAGTATGACGCTTTCATTGGTAACTTTGTAAGTTGGGACACTTTTCAATTGCGGAAGAAAATTTACCTCTAGGGGCCAATTTGATTAAAATGCATTCCGATTCTATTTTATCATTATTGCATATTACTTTCAGCGGAGGTTCAGCATGTGGCCGTCTTACTTTTCAACACGCTACACAACTTCGTACTATTTCACTAGTAGCCACTCATTGGGTAATAATTTTTTTACACCATGAGTTATCAGTCATTTGGTTCACAACGATGGGGTGCTGTGTCACGCGTTGATGATGAAAGGTGCACATGAATCTCAAGGCATCGGAACTCACGGAATCCCATGATGAACAAGCAATAATGATAAATATTTTGTTTGTTTTGATATAAAGCTGTTTGACTTGGTTATGACACCGGGACTTCTTCCTGACATGGAAGAATTAGAGGTAATGCAGTAGGCGCATGATACCATATAACTAATGTAGAGTGTAACTCATCAAATCCATACATATTTGGGGCAAATTTCCATGAAATATTAAAAAATGGATGCCGCTCCTTTTTCAGTGAATACCTTAAGAAACTTTGCTGTGCCCACAGACGCCGCGGATTTTTGCTTTACCTTGCTGAATTATACTTTTGCTTCGGGATTACTGTGTTTTAAATGATTTTTCTGCGTGTATTGAACACCAATGCTTTGCTTTTCGTCTATTTTTCTATCTGTGCGCATTTGGTGGATACTTGGGCTAACTTCGGAGACCTCGGTGATTGGCTTAACCGCCGTCTGTGTCCGTCATCTTGGATTCGCTCTACAGTCATTTAACCTATTTCAGCCCGACCACTAACTTGACCAACAGCGTTTGGATACAGCCTACTCGTGTAGATCTTGCAACGAACGACATCCGCAGAACTGACAAGCACAATGGCACGTACGCTTGCCCACGGCAAGCTAAGTCTAGATCTCCCGAAATGAACGTTAGTTGTGGCGCACAAAGCTGTGTTAAACTTGTACGCTTTGGAATAGAATGCACAAATGGTCGAAAAAAGTTTATCCTCGATATGCTCGCCTTAGTCTCGGCCAGATAAAAAAGCTTAATAGTACGACTGATTCCCTCTGGTTCTGCATAGAGTGCACATCTATTCCACTGGTGAGATGTATTACTGTGTTGGCACAGTAGTGCGATTGGCTGAGAAATATTGTAGAGTAAGCAGCAGCCGTGAAAGCTGTCCAACACGAACCAGCTAAACCAGTGCCCCGAATTCGATGCTCAACATCAAGCTCCAATCTAGATCAGTGTAGCCAGGCCGAAAATAAGAGTAACGATCCAGACTTAGCCACGCCGACTCTATCGGCTGCTCATAAAGCTGCGGCCACACACTCTTTATTAGAATCATCCGCCACATCGAACACTGTTAAAGAGCCGACAACCTACGCGTCCGTTGTTGCTACTCATATGACAGAGACAACTCCCATCGTAACCCCGACCGCTGCCAAACGAGTTAATACTACCCTTACCACCACGGGACCCTAAACCCCATCAACTGTCCAACCAAAGAAAGCAGATACACGTACTCTCAAAAGGAGAACAAGGGGAAATATCATAATTCTGTGACTGTTATATGCTCAAACATGCCTGAATCCAGACGGACTCCATGAAAGATAAGCTACTAGACGACAAGCAAAAGTTGGACCCTGTGTCAATTAATTGGGGTGCAAGTCACGCGCAACATCAAATGCTGTTAGAGGACCTGCAACATAGCGTCTGTTATTGCTACCCACTTGACTGATGCACCTCCAATCGTAACCCAACCCGCTGCCAAACTATGTTGTTAATACTGTCAATACCACCACGGGACTCCAAACCACATCAATTGTCCAACTAAAGAAAGCAGACACACGTCCCCACAAAAAGAAGAACATGAGACGACACCATAATTCGGTGACTGTTATATGCTCAACTGAAAGATAAAAGATACGATACTAGACGAAAAGAAACAGTGGGAGTACCTGTGTTAATTAATAGCGGTAAAGCTAAGCCGGTCAGTATGATGCGCCTCGTCCGTCACCCGAACTCCGCACACCACCGTGAACCGCGGTTACTCCAGGTAGCACTTCAGCCAGGTACTGATGCAGAGGCTGTTCTCTTGTCACCGAATCTCCTTCCTACCACCCCATGCACTGTTCGAAGTTTTCCGGATGTTCCATGGAACGAAAGCCAGAAACGCCAACTATAGTCGGACGATTACTGCGAACAAAAAGACGTAAAATCGCATCCAGTCCACGGTGTCCCCGAGGTTCAGACTCTAAGCGAGCTAGAGACCCAAGCGCATGACTGGGATGAATGGCGCTTCATCAGCGAAGTACTCGCACTCGCAAATGTAATAGCTAACTCGAGCTCAAGGTTGCCATCATCGCCTAACTACGGAGAGATGATTCCACGAGTGATAAAAGTAACGCTGCAAACCAAACCCTTGGCGACAGGTTAAACGAAACTTGCCTGTGATTGCGCAACAAGCTGCCATCCGAAATAGGTATAAAATCTATGGACACCGGGTCACAAATCGACGAGGTAACGCTGGATAGGCAACGCTTGTGTGCGCCACCGTCAGCATCCCGATGAAAACTGGGTGCAGTCAAAACACTCCGTCAGCTGAAGTACGTCGAGGTATCCAGCCACGCACTGACGTCGAGAAACCTACAAGCCAACTCGGAAGGTCCCGGGGGACAGTGATTACGGTTCAACAGAGAAACGCTCGACGACGGACCCTACGAGAATCGACATTACCCCCTACCCAGAATCCATATCTACAAATCCACTGCTAACATTTGAGGCCCTCACGTGCTTGTGTACCAACGCCCAAGATCTGCTCGGTAGGTTACCCGAGATTCGTTACGCTTCCACTCCTTGGGATATCGTCATGATAACTGAAACATGGCTGAATACTGAGATCACTAATGCCGAGATAGCTCTGCTCGGCTTGACCCTCCTACGAAACGATCGACCTAACAGAGGAGGCGGAGTGCTTTTGTATTACCGATCTGACCTGCATATCGAGATCAAGGACGATGCAGCAACGCAAGTTGTTGATTCTCTCTGATGCCGCCTGCAACTGAAACGGGATGAGGTGTTCTTACTTGCAATTTTATACCGCCCTCCAAGATCCACCCTGGAAATGGATCACCACCTGGCGTCTACTTTTAAATGAAGCCTAGCACGGTCATACAGTCACATCCCTTTGATAGGGACTTCAACCTGCCAGTAATCCCAGCTTCGTTCTGCGAACAATTCAAAGCGGACTTGAAAGAAGTAATCACAGATATATCGCTATACAATCTCGTTACCGCTTCCACGAGATTCGGAACTGGTAACGAACCATCTGTCTTAGACCTTGTGTTCACCAACCTGGAACTAATAATTGATGTAATAAACCTAAATACACTACTTGGCCGTAACGATCACGCGACGCTTCACTTCCACTACAATTGCTACGCGGGATACATCTGTAAAAACAGCAAAGAAGTGCATGTCATCTATTACGGTACACCTTCCGACCTCCTTCAAGAAATTAACTGGCCTTTTCTATCTAAGCAGCCTCGACGTCGTCTGGAAGGAATTTGTTACCTTGTTCACCTGGCTGGCGGCAAAGGCGTCCGAAACCAACGTATTTCATCCTAAGCAAATGAAAACCTTGCTGAGGAGCCAGACACGGAGATGCATGGCCCTAAGGGATATGACCTGAAATGCTTACAAAGCCAGTCCGGATGAGCAAGCCTGGGCTGCATACATACCTGCATAATCACTGCGTCAAAGTAGTTCACGAAGACAATTTTAAACACCAACAGGATCTGGCGACGAAATTCACTACTAATCATAGGATACTCTACAGGCACGTAAACAAGCTCCGGAGAGTGCAGCGCGGGATCCCAGTTCTTCGTGCAGTAGATAGTCTGGCGCTGACTTCACACGATGCAGTGAATGCGCTGCGATAACAGTCTACCTGCAGTTTCCAAAGTGAATAGCCACCTCACCCGTTCATGCAATAGCTCAATCTCCCCCCAGGATAAGGCCACGTATTATTCACCGCATTAAATGTGATGAAAAGACTACTGCCGTTGCGCGTGCGCAGCCCTCCTGGTGTGGATAATCTCAGACCGAAAGCATTACAAACAATAACCACGAACCTTGCAGAACTGTTTGCCCGATTTTTCCCAAAACAAGCCGTGAAGCCATCGAGAAGCGAGTCAGCACCTTGGCCTCCTACAAAGCGCGTTCAGGAACTTCGAATCATTAATTTTGCCGCAAAGGATGAACGCTTACGTGAAGCCGCACTTGGAGTACATGATGCAGGCATGGTAACATTCGCGCAAACACGACGTTGCTGCGCTCGAAGCTCCACAAGGTAGGACAGCGAAAATCATTAGATGAATCTTTCACCTCTCTTGCCAACACAGACTGCAAGTCCTAGGCTTGTACGGCGGCAAAAACCGGTGTCTTCGAGTAGACCCTATTATGGTGTACCAAATACTGATAAACCACAATCGCACCTGCCGCGGTCTGTTACAAGTCAGCAACGATGCCAACCTGAGAGGCCACCAGCTCTAACTAACCACACACCTCAGTCGACTTGTTTGCTGACAAAGTTTTCTCCCGTTGGATATCCAGACCGTGGGACGCTTTTCATTCTCACTTTATTTCCATCCCACTATTAACACTACTTAAAATACGATTGGACAACACTCTATCCCATTCATAGAAGTAAAATGGTCTGTTTCTGTAGAAAAATGAATTAGCCTAAACGGTGTGTTCACCAACCCTCTCCGTTACGTAGCGGTGAGCAGAGCATTATGTGTTCATTTGCTTAACACGGTGAGTAACAGCAAACGAAAATTTGCCCTTTTCCTATCACTTTAAATCATCAGATTGTAATCCCCATGCCGGTGATTCCACGGGACTTGTAAAGCATTACTTTTTTGCCCATTATAAATCATTGCTTTTTGTTCAGGTGTTGTATGGAAAGTAGCTTGCATTTGCTCTCGTT